TATGGGAAACCTACAGTCCAACAGAAGCGTTCAGAGAGACAAATTCAGGAGATCGAAAATGGGTGTCTACTGTGTTCTCGCAAAACCATAAATAAATATAAACATAGTTTAAAAATAGAAGCAGTAGTTTATTTCAGAAAAATATATTTTTAAAATCATTATAATACCCTCCACCCAAACAATGATATGAAGTTCCCAGAACTGCATCCATAAGGACTTACCATAGGTTCATTGGGCGTAGGAGTCAACCTAAGGGAACATCTTAGGTCCATAAGGAATTACCCTAGCCAAACGTAGGAGCCACCTAAGAGGAGTGCCCTTAAGTCCATCAAGACTTACCCTAAGCACAAGAGTCACCCTAAGGGATTGTCTTAGGGTTTATAAGGTCTTACCACTAGGCTTATTTGACATAGGAGTCCACCCAAGGGTCACCTTAGGCCCATAAGGAATTACCAGCTTGATCGGAGCTGAACTTGTAGAACTTTATAACATATCACAAATAGTACCCCAATATAAAACATGATAATCAATAAAGAATAATATCAGAATATGGAGCCAGATGTATCTAGTATCAGAAATCTAATATCAGGAACCATGTTTTTATTTCAAATATCATAGTAATATTTTTAATATATGAGAAAATATTTATATGCATGAGGAACACACTAGAGATCTAGTATTTTTCTGAAGCACTTGGTAATTATTAGGAGGGAAACATGAAACTTCTATAAATTGATCATATATCATAAATAATATCCCTATTAAAAGGGGTTCGCTTACTAACATATCTAATTAGACGTCCAGGAATTAATGTTTTATGACCATTTAGGATTTCGGGTGTATCAGAAAGGTATTCAGGAATCTTACATCAAAATTATTTAAGATTCAAATATAACACGAGTGATTCCATTACTCAAGCCATCAGGGCATTTTAGTCATTACGATTCCTAAAAGAATTCTTAATAATTTAACTCAATAAGGGTAAAATGATGACTTTCAATATTCAAGATTTATATTGAATTATCAAGATTTTGAGTCAAAGTAAATTAAATATATCTCAACTCCACGATACTCATCAATCATTTGGACCGATATCCTTCAGAATATTCATTTCTTAATACTGATTGCACTAGTTAAACTGATCACCATCAAAATCACAACAGAAAAGATCTCGATGGGACGAAGATGTATTCTGATGATATTATTTATTTATGTATTGTAACCATATCCAGAATGACCGACACACTTGGGTTGTGCTCCAGGACCTTTAGAGGCAGTACAAGACATAGGTTTGTAGGTGTTTCTAGAGTTTATCTCATGTCATCCACTTATTTCTAGGTCATGAGAGTGTTTAGATCATTTCATTACTCGAGGTTATTCTAGTCATTTTAGAGATCCAAATTATTTTGGTATTTCAGTCATTTTAAGGGTAGTTCTATCAAGACGATTGCCTTCACTACTCGTTGTCGATGTCGGAGATCGCTACTAGTGCATTTGGTTCACCATGGTTGCTGTTGGAAAGTTAATCCAAGGCTACTGGATAAATCCTGGCCGAATTTAGGTTCATTGTTGGTTAGATATACTGTTACGTTTGATTGACAGATTCATATTTTGGGTTGGGTTAATTGGCGTAATTGGGTGGAGTTTGTAGTAGAAAAGTGTTGGTTTAAACTTCGTTTCCCATTATCCTCATTATCGATTTTAAAGTCCCCATATCTTCTTAATATTTCTAGTGAACCCAAAAATTTTAATTAAATTGTTATTCAAACTTCCTAAGAAATCTAATCCTAGATTAGGGTATGACACTAAACAACTTCGATGGTTAAATTGATGCAAAAAAATGATAAGGCGAAATTGATAATTAAGTTTACTACAGAGGAAAAAGTGACCATCAAGCCCATTATTTTTTATAACTATGCAGTTTTAAAAAGATTTTTATGATATTTTATCCCTTTTATAGGGTTAAAGGAAATTAGAATTATGACTTTAATCAAGATAAATTAGAATTTTAAGTAGGGCTAAATTTTTGTTGATTGAATATTTTTTAGATAATATTTTTTTATAAAATGTATAGTATCTTGATTAGATGGTAATTTTTATAGAATGAATGCAAATCATTAAAAAAGAAGGTTGAAAGAAGAACTTTACTTCAAGGGATCCCTCATAGTTGAATAGATAAAGGGAAATAGGTTATGCGAAAGAAATGAAGCAAGAAAGATGGGATATATTTTTACTAATATTTGACATTGAGAAAAAGTTCATATGTATAATGTAACACCCTAATCTGACTCGACCCAAAATCTGAAGGATTAAAATATTACACGGAACCACCAAGTGGTTAACTATTTTCTTTTTCGTTTAAAACACCATATGTTTAAGAAAAACATCAATAATAGTAATAAAATACTTTTATAACCTGAGCTCAATGACACATGGTTTAAATCAAATAATAGAACTCAAGTTTACAAACCCAAATACATAAGTAAGGGTCTTATGAATACATATGCCCACTATAAGTAACCAAATAGTACTTTGTGGGGAATGCTAGAAATCCTGCTACGAAGGTGTTACTCGAATGGCTCAATATACTAACGTATGAACATAAACATTCAAACGTTGAGCTTACAAAGCCTAGTAGTATAATCTCTAATCTAGATCAGTATATGAATCTCATAAACATAAGCATGCTAGAAGATAAGGTAATGAACAATAGGTACATGCATGGTTATAATCGAGTGATATCTACTTAAGGTTTAATAGTTCTATTACTACAGTTTGAGCCTCATGTTTCTCTTAGTATTATACTAAGAGCCTCGCCATGAGTATACATATATTGGTTTTCTAACCGCAATTGCAAACAATGAAAAAATGCAATATGCATGATACAAAGAACAACATCGAATATGTGTGTGTGTGTGTGTGTGGTGGCATTGCCATTGTTTAACGGAAGTGACAAACACTGGTACTAAAGTGCCTTAGCACTGATACGGAAGTACATTTGCACTCATACTAAAGTGTCTTAGCACTTCTGGAATATATATAGATATTTCATCTAGATATACTTTAGACGATCGTTACTTACAAACACAAGTGACTCAGGTGTCCTCATCTTTCCCCGAATGGCAAACAAAATGTATATGTCTTATGGAATCTTACCTCATAAGGTTCTTATGATTAGCACACAATTTACATTATTATTAATTCGTTATTATTATAAAGCTCTTCTTTATAGCTAACATCTCAACACGCGTCAACCGATACCACATGAAGGCAATCGAAGTTGTTCGACTACTCGTTATCAAACTCATCATGATCAGGTGAGGTTATCCCCTGACTCGACTCTATCTCACTCATTCTATCATCTAGAACATTATGAAGGGCTTCTTAGTCTTTTAATGTTTTATATCCTTAAGGTAATTAGTATTCATTGCTACCCACTTGGTATATTCCTATTAGCCTAATACTTGATTCGGGGTTAGTTTATTGATAATGACTCCCTAGTGGCTCTCATCACACCTCCCATCGGTTCACCCTTGAACTGATAGGGTAACTTTCTCATCTTTGATTATAGGTGTTCATGTGGTAATCGATTCCCTTTATCTCGATCGTTAGGTCATTCATCGTTCTACTCACTGGTATATCATTCGCAACAATCCTTCATTCGCGATTACTCGACACGTGTTTGATTGAAGATACTTGGAAATATTACACCTAATATGATTACTTCGGTCCTAACCCACCTCTAAACACCTTTCTTAACACTTATTCTAATGTTTTATACATATTCGATCCTATTTATATCATAATATGAGTCCATGACCTTTCGGGTAATATTTTATGCCTAATTAGATATTTTAGACAGGGGTTTCCAAACCACCTTAATGGGTTCTGAAACCATAATACAACTTTTACAATCTGGATAAGGGGTTTCGAAACCAACTAGGGGGTTTCGAAACCACTGATGCATATTAATATGTTTCTCATGAGTGAAACTCTCCAATCACTCCTAAAACCCTCCCAAGGTCCCCAAATATTATCTAAAACTTATAGAAGTTACTTAGGGTCATCTAGAACCCTAAAAATGCAATCTTTTAAACAAAAACTTCATCTAATAAATAATCAACAAAACCCCCAAATATACTCAACACCCAAATCCCCAACAAAACATCACATTTAAGGAAGTCATAACATAAAAAAAAAGATTAGAAATATATTGCATTAGTTAAAGAATTCTGAAATGAAGCTTTTTTAGCTAGTTATCACTCTTCTCCAAAATTAGATGACAAACCCCATTTTTTCTTGCAAATAAAGAACCCAAGATTTTGAATCATTAAAACAAGTTTGTTAAAGGGATTGAGGATGAAATTGAAGCTTAGAAGAAGTGTAAAAGGTTCTCAAGAACTTACCTTTGAGCTAAACACTTTTAGAGGAAAATGAGAGCGAAGAAAAGATGGAGAATAATGAAATAAGGAGAAGAAGATGAAGGATGATATAAATCTCATCTTTTCTTGAATGGGAGAACCACGCTTTTGGACCTTCATATTTTGCTTTATATCCAAAAATCCTTTTATATATATATATATATATATAATAAATGTATCGAATAAGTTACATTAAATCATAAAATATAAAATATATTTTTTTTCAAATTAAATTTTATATTCAGATGTCCATATATTTGATTCAAAAATTCATATATTCGAAATTTTGAATATCCGAATTTTTTAGATCGGATACATATAACTATTTTAAGCATCCAAAATTTTTGGATATCCGAATTTTCGGATTGAATCAGATTTGATATATGAATTTACACATCCCTACCAATAAGTCTTTTTGTTCATAAAGTTGGTGTTGATCCTCCCCGTAACAATTGCAAGTGTGGAAAGAACATTTATAAAATGAACATAGTAAATAATAGAATGTGAAATAGTATATGTGATCAATTCTTAAATGATTGTTTGATAATTTATATATAAAGAGATATTTTTTCTCCAAATTAATGATTAAAAAAATCATGAAATCGTTTCAAGGAATATCATAAAAAAAATCGTAAGTATTTTTAGATATTAATAATTTTATGTTTTTTGAATGAATTGTTATTTTGGATTATGTAATTGTTTTAGTGAATATTATAATATTTATTTTGAATCTTCACTTTTGAATTTCTGAATTTATCATTGATGTCAATGGCACATATCGTTTGTGTGTGTTAAATAATATTTTTTATTTTAATTTTTACAATTTTAAGTTTCTTTCATTTTAATATGTGAAATAAAAAAATTCAAACTATAATCGTCAACAACTTTAAATCTAAAATTATCTTTTTACTGGCATTACAAAACGATTTTGGCAACTACTATAAATTTCACCTCAAATTCTCAAATAAATTCTTTTCTATGCAACATTTCCCTTGTTAAAAAAAATTCATCGTTTCCTTTAAATTTACCCATTACAACTACATGACACTTATAATTTTACATAATACTAGTAATTAAGCAATGTAGTTGATTGATTAAAGAAACCAAGGTAGATGTAGGATAATTCGGTCTTTTAGACCACTTATCTACTCCCACGCGTCCTACTGTCATTCCACACAATGCATGCACTCATATCTTTTTCTCTTATCAGCCCCTTTTGCTCTAACTAAAATAATAACAAAATCGATTCCTTAGTCGTATATTAAGGTTATCACACGTGAAACATTTCATAGATAGAAAGTTTTACAGTACGACAGTATTAATATACAGTTAAGGAAATACTCTATCGGTTTTGTTATTATTTTTTTAACAAAACCGGTAAAAAATTACCTAAAATATTATTATTTCTACTAAACTATTAATATTTTTTAATATTTCCGGTAAAATGGTCAATAATAACAAAATCGGTAGAAAAAATAATATTTTAGATAATACTTTACCGGATATGTCAACAAAACTGATAAAACGTCCAATAATAACAAAATTAATAGAAATAATAATATTTCGATAATTTTTTACCGATTTTATTAAAAAATAATAATAAAATTAATAATATTTTTCATTAATCGTATATTAAAAGTGTCACGTCTGACTTTATATTGGGCTGCTGCAAAGACCAAATAATCAATATCAAGATAACGACAGGAGGTGAAAATAACAACCAATTATAAACCAACACCTGTCACGAATAAAATATTAACCTAAAGTTGGGATCTACCCGAGCATATTAGCATCTTAGCTTTCGATTCTCAGCATATCGAATTCTTCTTGATCAAGATCCCTACTCTCAACTTGGCCATCCAACGGTCCACATTTATCTGCCCTACACCTAACCCCTTACCATTTATAGGCGCCTCAGATTGTTTCTCTCACAAACCGCACGAACAAACCGAAACCAAACTGGAAAATCTTTAGACATGAACCAGTTGTTGGATTCTCGGGTCGAAGCTTTAGCATTTAACTATGTAAGTTTTGGGATTTACACTATTTTTAATAACCTATGGGCTTGGGTCGCTGTTATCACGGCGGCTGTTAGTTTTTGGAGGATAAGAGCTGCCGGCGACGCCACCTCATCATGTTCCGTTAAAAGTCACGAGAAAAGCCCTTCGATGTCCGTCATTGATCGACCGATTCACGAAGCTGAAGAAAAACGACAGTTTCACCCGTGGTTTCAATTTCATCTCTCCAGCTTCCGTTACGAAAACGGTTGTTTCACAGTCGGTTTGCAACGATGGGGCGACGAAAGGAGGGATGCCCAAGTTGACTGTTTATTACTATAATGATATCGGAGAAAAGACTGATGTCGTCGGTGATACGACGGAGACGGGATGGAGTGACGGTGACGGGTATCGTAAGGAAGGGAGTTGCGGCGGAGAATGGTGGGAGAGTTGGGAAAGAGTGTTGAGGTTGAGGAAAGGGGAGAGGGGGTGGTACCGTTATCAGGATTTTACGGCGATAAACGGCAACGTTGTTAGGTTATGGGATGATCGTGTAGAAGAGGAAGGTACAGCTCAAGCCGTTCTGTATGGTAGTTGGTGTTTTTCTTAAGAAATAAATTTGTCGTCTGATAATAATGTTTTTTATTTAATTATTGTCTTAATAACTTTTGATTTGGTTTAAGATTGGAGAAACATGCGAATGTAAATACAGTCTCTTTGGTTTGGTAATAATATTTTGATCAAATAAATCATTTTCGGTCAATTCAGACATGTCATATTAGTATGATATTTTTTAAAATAAATAAAAGTTTAAATATATTTCTATAAAAATCAATTTTGAGTGTTAATTAACAGGAAATTAGCAAAGTAGCTACTAATAACCTAGCTATGGAAAACTGGTAGTGAGTAAGTGAAGAAGAGAAGTAAGTACGAAGATCAGAACAATACAAAGTTTTAGGAAAATTACAAAGTATTCGTATATCATGCATAGTGGAGAGGCCCACTATTTATAATACCAACTAGCCCAACTGATTAGTCCAACTGAATAGGCTTCTGTTATAACAACCTTCAAATGGTTATAACAACCTCTATTACATAATACTCTAATATTCTCTGGGTTTTCTACTGACCTGAATTGCCAATTCAACAGTTCCCTGGCTTCTTCAGACTTGATTCACATAGCTGGTACCATTGATCAAATTAAAGATTAATTTTATTCGGGTGGCATAAGTAAAATCAGATTAGTTGGAGAAGCGAACAAAGGCAAGAAGAATTCTCCTTACTCGTGTTTTGCAGATGACCTTATTTTTTTTTCATAGTTATGTTGATTCAGTCATGGGTTCTTGAGTGTTCTTAAAGTCTTTTATAAAATGTTTGGATTGAAATTATATGCTAATAGGACAGAGTTTTTCTCCTGTGGTATGGGGATTAATGGTTTTACTGAGATTCAGGCTATGACTGGTTTTAAGTAGGGTAGATTACTCGTGAGATATCTTGACATCCTTTCGGTGACTCAGAAGTTCAGTGAGAAGGACTCCTCTCCTTTGATTGTGAAGATCATGGAGAAGTTTGGAGCTTGGTCTAGGAAGGTCTTCAGTTATGGGAGTAGACTTCAGCTGATCAAAGTTGTTTTATGAAGTATATCCAATTATTGGTGCAGATAAGTTATTCTCCCTAAAGTGAGATTTTTCATGAGAGTTTTCTAGAAAGGATGACTCTGCGCAGGGTGGTGCTCGTGTTAGTTCACAGCAGATCTGTTTTTTAAAGGCTAATGGGAGATTAGGTGTTAGGGATCTGCTGTGATGGAGTAGAGCTTGTAGCTTTCAGCTAATTAAGTGTATTCTAGCAAGGGAAGGCTCTCTCTATGTGACTTGGATTAAGGAGTATGTTTTTAAAAGAGAGGACTACTAGCAGGTGGAGTGTAAGTCTCATTATAGTTGGACTTTGAGGAGACCGCTAAAGTTGAGAACTGAAGCTAGAACATTATTTGGGGCTGGTGTGAGCTGGAAAGAGGTAACTAGCAGATGGGTTTGGGACCCTAGGGTGCAGTGACACATGGTCATTTGGTCCCCCTTCATGTTCCTAAGCATGTGATTGTTGCGTGGATGATCATATTGGACAGGTTGTCGACTAAAGATAGACTTGCGCGAATGGTGGTACAATTTGTGTGATGTTTCTGTTGAGATTGGGATCATATCTTCGCGGAGTGTGATTTCTATTGCGAAGTTTGGACGAAGATTATGTAACTTTGCTCTCTGCATTGGGGGCAGATTGGTTGGGACAACGTTATGAGATGGGCTGTGAAGAATCTTAAAGGCAAGTCTCTTATTGTTTGTATCCTTAAACTTGCTTAGGCAGGCTATTTGTACTTTATTTGGGAAAAACGTAACAATAAGTAATCTAGAGGGAGTTTTCCGATCAGTTGAGTGTACTGTGGATTGTGATAGAAATTCGTTTGCAATCTTGCTGCATTGATAGATTAGATAGGGTGAACTCTGCTCTGTGCAGCAGTTGCCAGTTGGGGGCACCATTGATGGATCTGTTTTCTTGCTCGTATATTACAGCTTTGTTGTTTTCTTAGATTAATCTACAATTGAATTATTCAAAAAAGAGTATATAAGACAAAACTACATATCTACATGTTTATTAGCATCGCAAAACGAGAAATAGCGTCGACAGTGTGCCCCCACATCCTTCTTGGTTAGAGTTATTAGTTTCTACAGTGAATTTTTGTATTGGTGACAATTAATTAATTATTATTCTATTTTCGAAGCACTTGAAATTTTGGTGAGATGAGAGGTTTTGAAATATTGGTGAAATTTAAGATGGCCACTCAGATTTTGTGTTGTGTCTTTCATATAAACCCCCCACTTGTCGGTACCATTCGCTTTCATATTGACATCATTTTGGGTAAACTATACTAGAGACCACTTAACTATAGTCTTTTTTTTTATTTTGACCACCATTTTTAATTTTTATCAATTGGGTCACTCAATTATTTAAATGTATTCGATTAAGCCATATTCCGTTAACATTTGACGGAAATGATGACACGAAAGTTAATAAAATTGGTAGACTTACACATTTTGTCACTTTAATTATATACTCTATCAATTTGGTCATAGTTTTAATAAATTAAAATAAATTTAAACTATCAAATCAAATGGTATTTCGTGTCACCCTCTAATGAGAAGAAAATTGAGAATGCTGAAAATAAGGGGATATTGGATTCAATCCTATATTTACTAGGTAAGAAGGACAAAGCTTAACCATTGGGTAAAGCTAGTGACTTGGTATAAAATGGACTACGAGTGGTATATATCTTGTATCGTAGTGTAATCTTAATTTTTTTTATTTTATCTTAAGAGTGGTTTAAAATGGACTAAGAGTGGTATATAATGTTTAAAGTTAAGATAAAATTTAAAATATATTTTTTAAAGTTAAGATAAAGTTCAAAAATATTTTTTAAAGTCGTGATAAAATAAAAAAAAAATTTAAAGTTAAGATAAAGTTAAAAATGTTTTTTTAAAGATAAGATAAAGTAAAAAATATTTTTTTAAATATTTTTTAAAGTTAAGATAAAGTCAAAAAATATATTTTTAAAAAAAAATTAAGTTAAGATAAATTTAAAAAATATTTTTTAAAGTTAAGATAAAGTTAAAAATTATTTTTTGTTTATTCAAAAAAGGAATTTACGATTACACTTAAATACAAAATATATACTACTCTTGGTTCATTTTAAACCAAGTTATGAGGTTTGCCCTAGTGGTTAAGCTTTGTCCTTATCACCCAGTGAACAAAGGATTAAATCTCATGGCCCCTTTATTTTTAGCGTTCTCAATTTTCTTCCCACCCGAAGGTAGTGACTAAATGTATAATTCTACCAATTTTATTAATTGTCACATCATCACTTCCGTCAAATGTTAACAGTAGATATCTTATTGAATGTATTTAAATAATTGAGTAACCAAATTGATAAAAATTCAAAAATAGTGGTCAAAATAAAAAGGACTATAATTAGGTGACCTCTAATATAATTTACCCAATCATTTTCTAACCTAACCCTTGATATATAATATAAAACTTTTAAATTTTATACATTTTCATATACTTGGATTAATTGAATTTGATAACTGAAAATAAAATTTTAAATTTAAGATTTTTTTTATATCTTCTTATTTGTCACCGTTAATTTTAACCATCAAATTTTACTTAATCAATTATTAAAAAGCATGTAAAACTTTTTTTATTAAACTAAAGTGATTAGAAAGTAGTATATGTTATAAATACTATTAACCATTTGGCAATGAATGCTCAATCACCCTATTACAGTCTCTGGTACTCAAACTCATGATCTCTAAAAACAACAACGATTCATTTAACTAGTGATGTAAGTTGGTTCGGAAAAAAATCATGTAAAACTTAAAAGCTTTATAATGTGTCAACATAATCCTACCTCAATGTTTAACATAAAAATTAATACTTTAACTTATCGATGTTTCTCAGTTTGATGCCTAATTTTTTAAATTAAATTAATATTTAACTTAAAAATTATCAGATTGATATCTAATTTAATATTTTCATAATAAACTGAATTATTACGTGATTATGATATCATTAATTTGTCTAATCAATGTCGCATTAACAATACGATTGTTATTGAAACTCAAAAATAAAATGATGAAATTAAAACTATTAAGTGTTTCATATGTTTGGATTCAAACATAAGTGTAACAATGACGTCTGGATGAAAAATGATTACAAAATACATTACAGTAAATTATATATAAAATAAAATTGGGTAAACTACATAAATGACCACATAACTAAGGGTCGGGTTGCGAAATGACCACTATTTTTAAATTTACATCAATATGACCATTGAACTATTTAAATGGTTTCAATATAACCACCTACCGTTAACATTTAAAGGAAGTGTTCACATGGCGTAAAAATTGGTATAATTAGGGCATGGGTCCCTTAAAGTTACGTATTTGTGGCGCTAGCACCTTGCTTTGTTTTCTTCCATTCTGGTCACTATTTTTATATGATTTGTTTCCTTGGATTTTCATTTAATGCAAATTGATATTGATTCTATTTTTAATTTGTCTAGTGCCTTAATTTAAGCATTAACTTTAAAATCTTTTATTCTAGTCATGTATTAAATTTATAGATTAAATCTCCTAGATTTTAGAATTAATCGTTGACCAATTTTCACACTTGTTATCAAGATAATACATATGTTATATAACTTGTTCAGGTTTAAGCAGAAAAATAAAACTAAAATAATTTAATTGCATTTGAACCCAATATCAATTACTAACCAATCAAAGTCTTAACCAATAGGCTCTAATGCCAACGAGTGTTAGTACAAGTGGTTTGGATTCAAGAATTTGACCTTGTAAGGCCAAGTTCGAATCTTATCACCGTCTCTCTTGGTGGGCAATATGTAAATTCTATGTTAAACCCAATTAGGCCTTAGGTATGCTCTGACACTGAACTAGGGAGACACCCATGACCTAAACTTTTTATTACAAAAATAGGCTAAATCTAATATTTAGGAATCAATTAAAATATTTTTTATATATTATATATTATAGTTAATGACAGAAAAAAATAGACAAGTGATGACTTAATTCTATGCCAATTGAGAATACGATAACACTTAAATTGTTAAAAAAATTAATATATTATTTATAATTAATTTAATATTTTAATATTTTTAAATTAAATTTATTGTGTTCATATTTAATTTTTAATGATTATATATATGAAATCATATTTAAAATTAAATTAAACATTTATTTAACATACACGAACACAAGAGAACAATTTAAAATCAAAGATAAATTTATCATTTTAATTTTAAATATTTTTCTTATGATTATAATTTGAATATATTAAATTATTTTTAATGATTTCATATATATAATCATTAAAAAATAAATATGAAAATAATAAATTTAGTTTAAAAACATTAAAATCTTAAATCAATTATAAATAAATTATTAATTTTTTTAATGATTTAAGTGTTGTCGTATTTTCAATTGGCCTATATATAATTTTTTTACTTATTCATTTTTATTTTTTTATCATTAACTATAATATAAAAAAATAGCTGACCCTTATTCCCATATGTAATGGGGTAAGGGGGGAGGTAGGATAGTAGGCTGCCCCTAACGCCAGGTTGAGAGCAGCTTAGCTTCTGTAGGAGACCTCCAAATTATGAAATGCCCTCCGTGGGACTCGATCCCACGACCCCAAGGTTAAGAGCCTTGTGCTTTATCAACTGAGCTGGATGACATTTCATCATTAACTATAATATAATATATAATATTATAATTGATTCCTAAATATTAGATTTAGCTTATTCATTAAGGCTTGCTTGGTTACTAATTCATTTTGGGTTTTTTTGTGCCTAAACTTAAACAAGTTATATAATATATATATTATCTCAATAAAAAATGTGAGAATTAGCTCAGTGGTTAAGGCATGTGCAGGTTACCCTTGGGTTTCAAAACTCATTTTCATTTATTTTCACTTCAATTCAAAAGGTGACATGTGTCACATTTGATTGGATTGAAAACTTATTAAATTAATTAATTAAATTAAATTATACAAAAGGCGAATTGTGTCACAATTTGATTGAAGTAATAAATTTATTAAAAAAATAAGAATAAAGTTAATTTTGGTGATCAAATTGATTAATTCTAAAATCTTGGAATTTAATCTATAAATTTAATACATGACTAGAATAAAATATTTTAAAGTTAATGCTCAAATTGAGGCATTAGACAAATTAAAAACAAAATAAGGATCAAATTGCATTAAATGAAAATCCAATGAAACAAATCATATACAAGTAGTGAACAAAATGAAAGAAAAACAAAGTAGGGTGTCAGCGCGATGAATATGTAACTTTACAAGGACCTGCACCCTAATTATACCAATTTTATTAACTATCACGTAAATACTCCCGTTAAATGGTAACGGTAGGGGCTATATTGAAACCATTTAAATATTTCAGTGGTCATATTGACGCAAATTTAAAAACAATGGTCATTTTGCGCCTGACTCTTAGTTATGTGGTCATTTATGTAGTTTACCCTAAAAAAATTATATTTTACATTAAATGAAAAACATATTGAATTTTTATTTATGTCAAATTATAATTTTATTAATAAATAGTTCAAGTTTTATAGAAGTATTAGTTATATTCATATCAATCGGACATTTAAAGGGGCCTTGAGAAAAATTATAAGTTGAAGTTTGAATGTGTACATTAAACCCAATAAATACAGTGGAAAGTGCTTCCTTGGGGGAACCAGATGATATTGAATGGATATGAAAGTTTTTGAATTATATGAACATAAATGGAAAAGTTGCTTGATGGTCACAGGGCCACCCCATCACATGCTCTGCTTCACAACCCAAACAGAGAGTATCAACAGCATTTCATTAATCACGAGTTTGGTCCCTTTACTTTACCAGTTTTCATTACTTTAAATAATTCATTTCTTTTACGTATTTTGTGAGGTCCCACGGTTGCATTAGTTTCCACATTCAACGATTCTTGAGTTAGGTTAAAATTCTTAATTATTGATTTATATGATGTAGAGTGTTATTATAAAATAAATAAGTAATTATATTATATATATCGTAGATATTAAAATATTATAAAAATTATAGATGAAAGATTGATATCGTCGGCCGTCAACGATTTATTCTTTTAGTTTGTGTATGATTGATATTTCTTTGTGAGAGAGTTAGATGTATAACAAGAGGTGTGGTGGAGGTGAAAGTCTCTCGCCCGTATTTAGTCGTTGTTGGAGAATATTTATAGTGGTATTCTGTTGAAAATACAAGATATAGGGTTATTAAGACATTCGTAGGTTAACACGTTAAATAGATCTAGTAATTAGACTAGATTTTGTTATGTTGGATCACATGAGTATTGTTAGAGGTCATGCCTGTGTGTCGTAGTTTATCTATGTTCTCGAAGATAAGGATCCTTTAGCATCTTGGTGTATGAAAAAGTATGGCTAGAACATTCTGCTGACGGAAACCAATGATTTCCAATGTATAATAAAAAAAATGTAGATATTATAAGTTATATTTATAATTTGATGACAGATTAAATTATAAATACCGAAATCTAACAATAACTTATATAAAGATACACGGGTCCAAAAAAGTAATTTGATTTTTCCCAAATTCTACTATAAAAGAAAATGTTTTTAAAAAAAAAATATATAAAAATCTAAAATTTTCGACATAATTAATATGAATTATTAGTTGGATTCGGTTCCATCAACAAACTATTCACATCTCGGTAGCAGTACAACGATGCTTCTGTTTCATTCGTGGATCGAATAGAAGCAATCCTATATTTGCATTTATGGTAGGAATAAATCTAACCTTAACATCTCAAAGTGATAAGAGAGGTGGTGAGGTTAAATCAAATCAGATGAATAACTCTTAAAAAGGGTTGAATGCAATTGAAGGAAGTTATCAAACTGCAACTGCAACTGCAATGGAATTCTACTTAATCACGAGTGAGCTGGAGTAGATTTCAAACTCCTTTCTTCATCGGGTGGAATTTAGAAAAGACCAATAAATAGCAATGTTTTGATTGGATGTCGGTGCTCTCTCTCTTTCTCTAATTAATTATTTGTTCATGTTCTTGCATTTGCGTTAAGTCCCGATAAGTTTCATGTTCCGATTACCGGTTCTACCCTTCACATCATACGCAAATGTGTTATTACATATAATGCCGTCAGGGATTTTCTATTTTTTTCAGTAAAATTTTACAACTTTCTCAACATATTCAAATTGTATTCATAACTAAAAAAATATCAATTTTGCAATGGAAAGAATTTCGAGGGTACTATAGCCATTAACTCAACTCCATCTGCCCCACGTTCGCTTCCCTCTATAAAATCCATCTCCCCGACAAGCTAAGCACATAACACTCACTCACTCACTCACTCACCACCATTTGACAATGGAAAGCCCTTTCTTTCTCCTAACGGTCCTCCTATTACTCTCCAGCTCCGCCGCCGTCGAATCGAAGCCTGGTGCATCTAATGATCTGGTCCGTTCATCATGTGTCAACGCCAGCTATCCAAGCCTCTGCTTCCGGACCCTTTCTTCCTACTCCGGCCCGGCCAACACCCCACGTGACTTGGCCCAAGCAGCCGTCAAAGTCAGCCTGTCCCGAGCCCGGAAGGTGTCAACCTTCTTGAGGACGAGGGTGACAGGGAAGGGCAAGAGGGAACGAGTAGCACTGAGTGACTGCGTGGAGCAGATATCGGAGTCGATGGAGGAGTTGAGCAAGACGCTACGGGAGTTGAAGCACTTGAGAGGGGAGACGTTCGGGTTTCAGATGAGTAATGCGCAGACGTGGGTGAGTGCGGCGCTGACCAACGAGGACACGTGTCTTGATGGGTTTGAAGGTGTCGATGGAAATGTTAAATCGGACGTGAAGAGGAAGATCACTAATGTGGCTAAGGTTACCAGCAACGCTCTCTACATGATCAATAGGCTCAATGAAACTCATTCTTGATCATCGCAATTGAATGGTTGTGATTTAACAGCTTTATCATGTTCACGGTTTTTACTATTTGCAAGCTGTATATGTAATAATAATTGCTATTTTTAGATTAAGCAAAAGACGATATGTCTTTCATCTCTTGTATCTTTTTTTCCCCCTCCTTTTTAAAATTCCAAGTTCGTGTTAATATCGGGCAGTTGAATGATTTGGTGATTGTTAATTTAATTTAACTTTTTAACATATAATTAATGTCGGACCAAACTGGGAAAATGAAAACGATATGAGACATAGGAGAAGGGAGACCATCCCTTGACACAGCCATCCTGTCTGCATCATTGTGATGACGACTCGTGTCACATGGTTGTTGGGCTAACATTAATACCAATACGTTCTGTTAAATATATTATTTTTAAAACTAAATATGAAAATAACATTCCATTATATTTATAAAGCCTAGAATTTTACGTATGTAACATTTAGAATTAGAAAAGATACGATTGATTTGATATTGTTTTATTGATCTTAAAAAGATATGGTTGATGAAGCATATAATTTGCAAGTTTTGAATAATATATAATCTGTCAATAATTAAAATGTATTTATTGAATTTATGGTTATATTTACCATATTCGATTGAACAAAGGTAGATTTTTGGGGAATAATTTTTTGTCTCTGTCCATTCACCAAATGTGACGGTGGATATGATTAAAGCTATTGATGTAGAACAACTTTGACAATTGATAGACGAGAGAGACTATGTCCCCAAAAGAAAATTTAGTACGAGAGAGAGACTATGTCCCCAAAAGAAAATTTAGTACTAATTAAAGGCTTTTTAAATGAAATCAAAACTTGAAAAGGGGAAACTGAGTTTTTCCTAATGATAAGGATCATCTATGCATGAAAAAATTCTTAAAGAAAAGAGTGACAACTTTTTTAGTATGCGCCAAAATGAAATAACAAAGAAACGGTGTATGAAGCGACGACAATAGATGGATGAATGCTTGTAAATAGCATAAACAACTTGTAGAGGGTATCTCAGAACAAAGATACAAATGCGTCATTATAAAATTCATGACTCCTTAATAATGCTGCTTAGATGCGCTGCTGTTTTCTGCAAAACTGGATTCGGGACATATTGTTAGAAAGTAGAACAGATGTCTGATGGATAAAGAGAACAAACTCCATGTACAACTCACAGTGGCGACCACAAATTAACATACAAAGAGTGCCCTCATGGGGGCACAAGTATCTGATATCCCTGGCTTCTGAAACTAAAAGTTCAGAACCTCCAACAGACCACAGTTGCTGGCCTAAAATTCATGAAATCTTGAATGTTCTAGTAAGTGCTGATACATTCACTCTCTTTTGAGTTAACAACCGAGTTTTGACTTGCAAATGCTTTACATCAAAAGCATGAAGAGCGAAGGAGAGAGAGAAATCATGAGAAGGAGAGTAGGAAGAAGTGCTAGCAGGCTGCCGATCAATACATGGACGGCTATCAAGTAAACAACCATCCAGATTTCAAAACCACCTCAACTGCCAAATAAAACTTAAAAGACTAGCCCGACACAACAAAAGTGTGTGAAATGTACCAGACGGAACTTGATTTCTTTTCCAATCGGTCACAAGTTATAATAAACTTTTTCCGATTAAAGATATTCTGAATCTAGGTAATGGAAGATACAGCAGAATCTAATAGCCAATCCCATTCGCAGGTCAAAGTAACTTATAGAGCACATGAGTGATGGGTCTAATGTCTAAACCAAACTGAACAGAAATTGGGTTAAAGGGGTAGAGCATTCAAGATATTAGCAAGTTTGTCTATTGACATAGAACAATTCACTGGAGGGGATACAATTGGTCAAGGAAGGCAAAGAAAGACACTTGGTTACTTCAAACACATGACAAGATCTGCAAGTATGGTTGTATTCAGACATTAAGAACATCATCGGAAATGGAAAAAAAAGAAAAAAAAAATTAAGTGTCGACAGCTTATCATGAATCAATGACATAACATTCCCTTTCATGCTAAATCCCCCCTTCATTTGAATGTGAGAAATCAGTGGCAATAACTCATTTGATCAAAACAAGGTCAGTAAACAAAGGAATAGGATTGATCACTACTATAACAGACTTAACAGTCAAGTTAATTTTTCCACAAAGTACATGTTCAATCACAAATCAGAAGCTTGAGAAATGTACTACAAAGAAAACGGTAAAAGCAAGAAGTTAGTATTTCAGCCTGCATTCTGATATACCTCAATCAGCAGTTTCTGATGCTTGACTATGTTGTTCCTCAATCAAACTTCGAACTCTCTGCAATCAAAATCTTTAGAGCAGATGCATAAACACTGTCAAATAGATGTCAACATGTAATCCTCACTTTATCTTCACAGAACTCCCAACCTCCTCTAGTTTCTGTAGTAATGCATAATCCCCTGAAGTAGGAATGGTATCATGCTTAAGTGGAGAACGCTGCAATAAGAAAAATAAACAAAAGGAACATTAAACCTAATAGACAAATTACTTGTCGAACATTATATTAGGATGGAGGGCTGATTGTTTAAAATAAGTGTCCTAATGGATACACTAGGCTTATAGTAGAAAAGCCTTAACATACATAAACTCAAATGACTAAGAGAACCAAATTAGATTAACAGGCATACCCAAGCAGATGGTGAAAGAATCCTTAAATTTGGAGCATCTTCAATTGCAGAAACTTGTCTGGCGAAAACCTCAGTCCTTATGTTTGAAAGGCGTATTAAAGCAGCCTAAGCATGAGCATCGAAAGGGACGTAAATCAGCACCCACTACTAAAGAATCAGCAACTACAAATATGATTTCGATAATTAAGAATATACCTTCCTAAAAGCACTCGGGTTAACCATGCCTTGGATTTGTAAATCATCACTAGGTGGCCTCCTCACACCAACATTCTCAATTCTAAGTGAGTAAACACCAAATAAAGACTGCAAATATCTTAAACAACAACACAAAAATTTTAAATAAATAAACATTCACCCTTTGTCAAAAACAGCTAAAGTACGTTAATTATTCTCACCTTGTTCAATTACAACATCTGCAACTGAAGGTAATAGAACATGCTTCTCTTTCTTTAAAACACCAAAACATGGAAATAGCACTGGCCTTGTAACCTGAATTTCCAAAGTTTACCCCATCCGTGAATGTTATTTATAAAAATAGCGACTTAAACAAAGTTTCTAAATTGTAATCAAAGCATGCCTTAACGAGCAAAAGTTTAGAAGATAAACAAGGGACTGGAATTTACCATGTAAACGAATGAATTAGGGGAAAGATGAAGCTTCCGTGATCGAATATCTTTACGGAGAATGTATCTTCAAACGGGAATGTCTAAGAGCATGAACAACCAAATACCCAAGCTAACACTAAAACCAATGAGTATAGAACCCATTGAGCCGTTTGGTATTTGACGAAATCCTCTTCCATCTATTCAAACGACGCCGTGTAAACGACGGGATCATCGTCTGCCTCGCTCTCCTCTTCTCCGGTGACGGATTCGGATAACAAACTCTTTTCTAACCTCTCGATTTCCACAACTTCATCTTCAGTACCCATCTTAAAAGCGAATACGCAGTAAGGAAATCGTGCTTACGACCTAACCGACAATCAAAATTATAGCTTACCGGTACCTGTGGTTGTCGGAGGGAAGATTATCCAGGATTTGCAGTTTGTAACGTTGAAACCGAACCCCAAGAAGAAGTAGAACGCGTGTCCCACAGGTGCACCGTTTCGTTGATTCTCTTTTAACAGGTGCGAGGATGATAATGTAAGGGCAGTAGTATTGTAGATTAAGTGCTCCTGACAATCTTGGTCGTTGATCTTAATGATGAAGGCGGGGGAAATTTGGTTGGGAAAGATTGGAGACGACGGTCAGTTTTGACTCTGAATCAACATAAGAAAAATAAGAAAAGTACGATGGGCTTAGCTCAAAATCAGATGGGTCAATGGTATCTATCTCCCGACACGGAAGTTTAAAATTCTTGGTCATGCTTTTTAAAGCCCATTTTGATTAATTTATTATGCTCCCAATCCAAAAAAAAATTCTCATTAGGCCAGACGACAAAATTAATTAGTCCAATAAGTTATAATGGTTTTTATTTTGCAAAACTACCGTAAAAGTTACAATGTAAGGCAAATCGTCGTGTTGAAGTGATGAGTTTACCTAAAAAATATTTTTAAATTATGTCAAGATTAATATTATAATATATTTATAGAAATTCGTCACGTCTACATGACGAGTCTGGTGAAAAATATTTTTTAAAATTTAATAATTAATTTAAAAATTAAAAAAAATTAACCTCGTCATGTCGAGATGACGAGTTTTTTAAAAATTTTCTTTTTGAAAAATATAGCAGTTGAGTTTGGATTTATAAATAAGGATTTGGGGTTTATGATCTTTATTGTGTATTGTTAAGAAAAAAATTGACAAAATTTTATATTTTTTTTTGAAGAATTCCTAAAAATTCTACTCAAGATAAAATGTTACGCCTTGATGTTATCTATATTTCTTCACTCGAACTCAATCCTGAAGAAGAACAGGGCATTTGTCAATGAGAAATGACACTTAAAGATTCGCATCAGTGAATTATTATATATCTAAAAAAATTCAGGTTGTATCCAACCACATTTCTTCGTGGTTTTAAGGTGAATCCGATATTAATTTCGACGCTGATTAAACGTTAGAGGTCCGAAACGCATACTTTCCATTTTTCAAGTGGTAAAGCAATGATTATGTTGGAGGATTTCACTTACCAACTAGGTGTTCCGATTAATGGTGTGGCACTGGTGAAACACAACAATTACAATTGATTCCTAATTGTTGAGGAAGTTTTGGGAAAGATGTCACTATCAGAGGTCTTAGACGGGTATCAGATACAGATAACTTGGTTCGAGTCCGAATTTTATGTGACTGACGACTCTACCAGGGATGATGTCATATTTGCATCCCAAATGTATCTTCTCCAATTGATTGGAGGGATTTGTTACTGGATGAATCTGGGAATTTGGAACACACTTAGTATCTTTCGATATTGAATAATTTTACTAAGTGTTGTAACACTAGTTGAGGCTGG